ATGTGGGGGGAAGGGAGCAGAGCAGGAGGATGTGGGGGGAAGGGAGCAGAGCAGGAGGATGTGGGGGGAAGGGAGCAGAGCAGGAGGATGTGGGGGGGAAGGGAGCAGAGCAGGAGGATGTGGGGGGGAAGGGAGCAGAGCAGGAGGATGTGGGGGGGAAGGGAGCAGAGCAGGAGGATGTGGGGGGAAGGGAGCAGAGCAGGAGGATGTGGGGGGAAGGGAGCAGAGCAGGAGGATGTGGGGGGGAAGGGAGCAGAGCAGGAGGATGTGGGGGGAAGGGAGCAGAGCAGGAGGATGTGGGGGGAAGGGAGCAGAGCAGGAGGATGTGGGGGGAAGGGAGCAGAGCAGGAGGATGTGGGGGAAGGGAGCAGAGCAGGAGGATGTGGGGGGAAGGGAGCAGAGCAGGAGGATGTGGGGGAAGGGAGCAGAGCAGGAGGATGTGGGGGGAGGGGAGCAGAGCAGGAGGATGTGGGGGGGAGGGAGCAGAGCAGGAGGATGTGGGGGGGAAGGGAGCAGAGCAGGAGGATGTGGGGGGAAGGGAGCAGAGCAGGAGGATGTGGGGGGAAGGGAGCAGAGCAGGAGGATGTGGGGGGGAAGGGAGCAGAGCAGGAGGATGTGGGGGGGAAGGGAGCAGAGCAGGAGGATGTGGGGGGAAGGGAGCAGAGCAGGAGGATGTGGGGGGGAAGGGAGCAGAGCAGGAGGATGTGGGGGGGGGAAGGGAGCAGAGCAGGAGGCTGTGGGGGGGGAAGGGAGCAGAGCAGGAGGATGTGGGAAGGGGGCAGAGCAGGAGGATGTGGGGGGGGGAGGGAGCAGAGCAGGAGGATGTGGGGGGGGAAGGGAGCAGAGCAGGAGGATGTGGGGGGGGGAGGGAGCAGAGCAGGAGGATGTGGGGGGGAAGGGAGCAGAGCAGGAGGATGTGGGGGGGAAGGGAGCAGAGCAGGAGGATGTGGGGGGGAAGGGAGCAGAGCAGGAGGATGTGGGGGGGAAGGGAGCAGAGCAGGAGGATGTGGGGGGGAAGGGAGCAGAGCAGGAGGATGTGGGGGGGAAGGGAGCAGAGCAGGAGGATGTGGGGGGAAGGGAGCAGAGCAGGAGGATGTGGGGGGGAAGGGAGCAGAGCAGGAGGATGTGGGGGGGAAGGGAGCAGAGCAGGAGGATGTGGGGGGAAGGGAGCAGAGCAGGAGGATGTGGGGGGGAAGGGAGCAGAGCAGGAGGATGTGGGGGGGAAGGGAGCAGAGCAGGAGGATGTGGGGGGGAAGGGAGCAGAGCAGGAGGATGTGGGGGAAGGGAGCAGAGCAGGAGGATGTGGGGGGGAAGGGAGCAGAGCAGGAGGATGTGGGGGGGAAGGGAGCAGAGCAGGAGGATGTGGGGGGGGAAGGGAGCAGAGCAGGAGGATGTGGGGGGGAAGGGAGCAGAGCAGGAGGATGTGGGGGGGGGGGGAGCAGAGCAGGAGGATGTGGGGGGGAAGGGAGCAGAGCAGGAGGATGTGGGGGGGAAGGGAGCAGAGCAGGAGGATGTGGGGGGAAGGGAGCAGAGCAGGAGGATGTGGGGGGGAAGGGAGCAGAGCAGGAGGATGTGGGGGGGAAGGGAGCAGAGCAGGAGGATGTGGGGGGAAGGGAGCAGAGCAGGAGGATGTGGGGGGAAGGGAGCAGAGCAGGAGGATGTGGGGGGGAAGGGAGCAGAGCAGGAGGATGTGGGGGGGAAGGGAGCAGAGCAGGAGGATGTGGGGGGAAGGGAGCAGAGCAGGAGGATGTGGGGGGGAAGGGAGCAGAGCAGGAGGATGTGGGGGGGAAGGGAGCAGAGCAGGAGGATGTGGGGGGGAAGGGAGCAGAGCAGGAGGATGTGGGGGGGAAGGGAGCAGAGCAGGAGGATGTGGGGGGAAGGGAGCAGAGCAGGAGGATGTGGGGGAAGGGAGCAGAGCAGGAGGATGTGGGGGGAAGGGAGCAGAGCAGGAGGATGTGGGGGGGAAGGGAGCAGAGCAGGAGGATGTGGGGGGGAAGGGAGCAGAGCAGGAGGATGTGGGGGGGAAGGGAGCAGAGCAGGAGGATGTGGGGGGAAGGGAGCAGAGCAGGAGGATGTGGGGGGAAGGGAGCAGAGCAGGAGGATGTGGGGGGAAGGGAGCAGAGCAGGAGGATGTGGGGGGAAGGGAGCAGAGCAGGAGGATGTGGGGGGAAGGGAGCAGAGCAGGAGGATGTGGGGGGAAGGGAGCAGAGCAGGAGGATGTGGGGGGAAGGGAGCAGAGCAGGAGGATGTGGGGGGGAAGGGAGCAGAGCAGGAGGATGTGGGGGGGAAGGGAGCAGAGCAGGAGGATGTGGGGGGAAGGGAGCAGAGCAGGAGGATGTGGGGGGAAGGGAGCAGAGCAGGAGGATGTGGGGGGGAAGGGAGCAGAGCAGGAGGATGTGGGGGGGAAGGGAGCAGAGCAGGAGGATGTGGGGGGGAAGGGAGCAGAGCAGGAGGATGTGGGGGGGAAGGGAGCAGAGCAGGAGGATGTGGGGGGAAGGGAGCAGAGCAGGAGGATGTGGGGGGGAAGGGAGCAGAGCAGGAGGATGTGGGGGGGAAGGGAGCAGAGCAGGAGGATGTGGGGGGGAAGGGAGCAGAGCAGGAGGATGTGGGGGGAAGGGAGCAGAGCAGGAGGATGTGGGGGGAAGGGAGCAGAGCAGGAGGATGTGGGGGGGAAGGGAGCAGAGCAGGAGGATGTGGGGGAAGGGAGCAGAGCAGGAGGATGTGGGGGGGAAGGGAGCAGAGCAGGAGGATGTGGGGGGGAAGGGAGCAGAGCAGGAGGATGTGGGGGGGAAGGGAGCAGAGCAGGAGGATGTGGGGGAAGGGAGCAGAGCAGGAGGATGTGGGGGAAGGGAGCAGAGCAGGAGGATGTGGGGGGAAGGGAGCAGAGCAGGAGGATGTGGGGGGAAGGGAGCAGAGCAGGAGGATGTGGGGGAAGGGAGCACAGCAGAAGGATGTGGGGGGGAGGGAGCACAGCAGGAGGATGTGGGGGGGGAGCACAGCAGGAGGATGGGGGGGGAAGGGAGCAGAGCAGGAGGATGTGGGGGGGAAGGGAGCAGAGCAGGAGGATGTGGGGGGGAAGGGAGCAGAGCAGGAGGATGTGGGGGGGAAGGGAGCAGAGCAGGAGGATGTGGGGGGAAGGGAGCAGAGCAGGAGGATGTGGGGGAAGGGAGCAGAGCAGGAGGATGTGGGGGAAGGGAGCAGAGCAGGAGGATGTGGGGGGGGAAGGGAGCAGAGCAGGAGGATGTGGGGGGGGAAGGGAGCAGAGCAGGAGGCTGTGGGGGGGGGAAGGGAGCAGAGCAGGAGGATGTGGGGGGGGAAGGGAGCAGAGCAGGAGGATGTGGGGGAAGGGAGCAGAGCAGGAGGATGTGGGGGACAGGAAGGGAGCACAGCAGGAGGATGTGGGGGGGGAGCACAGCAGGAGGATGGGGGGGGAGCAGAGCTGCAGCCTTAGCCCCTCTAGTTCTCATTTTTGATAGCTTCCTATTTGATAAGGATCAACAAAAATGTAGAAAGTCATCCCTATGTTTAAAATCAGTGAATGTATAGGACAGTAAGGAAAGCAGCAGTGTGTGTGTGTGTGTGTGTGTGTGTGTGTGTGTCTTGTCTGTCTGTCTGTCCGTCCCGGGAGGAGCAGAATGATGCCTGGAGGTGGTACCTTGAGAGGATGATGGCTCCACTCCTGGCCTGCGGCTGGTGAGGAGAGGGGGAGCTACTGCAGCCAGAGGGCAGGGGAGGCCCTCCTCAGTGGGATAAGCAAGGTGTGCAGGCTGGAGAGAGGAGGAGTTCCCTGCCCTCGCCTGCTTCCTGCTCCACCTTAGTTGCTGTGTTTTATTTCCATCTTTCTCTAACTTTCTGGAGATTTCTCAGGGGTGGCCCTGCCTGGCCCCTTACCCCTACAGCCCAGTCTCTGTCTTCGAGAGGTGCTGATGGCAGACAGTGCACCCTCCAGAGCCCAAGGAGACTGTCACACACTCCCCAGGCCCAGAGGTGGCTTCTGACCCACTAAGTGTGCAGAGCTGCTGGTCTCCCACCCACTCCTATCTACTGTTCCCCAAAAAGAAAAAAGTTGACGACCTGATTCTATAAAAGGAATAGGCCTGTGTGACAAGAGGAAGCCTGTTTTTCACAAATCCTTTAACCCACCATTTACAAATCAAACAAGAGTGTCTGCCGATAGTGGGAGAATCACGTTAAGTTTTATGTTTTCAGACCTCACTTTGAGCCATTTGTTCAAACTACACAGCTCAGGTATGATGAGGAGATTCAGCTTCGACAGTATCTATTCTGTGAAAATCATATGACTCTGAATTTTATCCAATAGGACTGATTAATCCCATATGGACTTGGTGAAAATTGGAGCAAAAGCGATTTGAACTGTGTACAGCTAGCCACTCTATTTATTTTCGTTTCCTGTCAAAGCCAGAGGCCTCAGGTTTGACATGGCTTTCTGGATAGTACAGCCGGTCATGATGCAAACTTAAAACATTCATTAAACTGAACTAAAAACAGACACACAGGGAGCCTTGAAACACAGGCTTATCTTTTACCAAGTAAGGTCCGGGGAGCATGTGAAGAATGCTGTCTTCAGGTGCTGTGCTAAAATAGTTCTGGCACGACAGCTGGAAAAATCCAGCTCGGGACTCACTGTGTCACAGCCAGTGCCAGCAAGATCTTATTTTGCCTAAGTGCCTAGATGATAATCAGATGATTATTTTAATCAGAATTCTGTTCTCTTAAGGGTTCATAAAATTGTGCTAGCTTTAAAAACGGCCTGCAGGAGGACTCTCTGGCTCACCTATCACCCAGTGTCAGTGTGGCAGGGTGCCCGTGGGCCTGACAGCCTCCCCTTCACTCTCCTGTGCACAGAGGTGAAGCCTGAGCACTCATCCTACACGGGGCCATGCCGAAGCAATGCCCGGCCACCCGGGCTCCACTGCATGGGAAGATCTGCAAGTGTCCAGGAACACGCGGAGTGGGGGCCACCAGTGTTGTGGCCAAATTCTAAATAGTTCCTCAGAGCCAATATACTAGAACAATTTACTGTCTTCATTAGATTTAATAATCTTACTCCAAAGACAACTTGCTTGTTGCATGAAAATACTCTGCATTCACAGAACAGCTAAGGATTAAAATAAATGAGAAGAGACATGAAGGTACACACTAGAATTGTTGTGTGAGCATTCTCATCAGTAAACAGGGGACAGGACTTCGCCTGTCACCTTCTAATTTCCAGGGGAAGCCACCGAGTCAAGAGAGCAGATTGAATGAGCACGTCCCATTTCACTGACTCAGAAACACCACCCAACTGTGGGCCTGAAAGTCAAATACAAGGAGGGACACTGTAGGAGCCAGCGCTCAGCCCCAGTGGGAGACCCCGAAGCAACCTGATCCACAGGGTACCTCAGCCTCTCAGCCACGGGCCTCAATCCAGAGGAGCCCAGAGAGCCGGCCTGGGCAGAGAGAAGGAGGCTGACCAGCTCCCGCTGACCGTACATTGCATACACGTTGCCCTGTGTTGACAGAAGGCCTTGTCTGTGGACGCTCATGTCCTCGTGAGTCACAGTGAACCTGGAGATGATCTGAATGTCCACCTGCAGAAGGAAGGGCAGAATGTGGTGCATCCACGCCGTGGAATTCCACGCAGGTACGGCAGTGCAGCAGCTGCCCAGCCTGCAGCAGAGATGGAGGCCGAGAGCCTCTGAGGAGCCTGGGTCAGGGGCTCCATTCACACCAGGCTCTTGTGGAGTCCGAGGTGAGCGCCGTGGTGTCTGACCAGGTGGGAGCAGGAAGGGAACTGCAAAGATGCCAGAGGCATCCTGGGGGGCCAAGCTCCGGGGTGGCAGGAAGATGGGAGCCAGGCTGCAGCGGGCAGGGAGGGAGGCCCAGTGAAGCAGGACGGCAGAGGGACTGGCAGGGCGCTCCTGATGCCATGCATTTCAGAACCCAGAGCGCTGTGTGGTGGAAGACCAGCCTCAGCGCAAGCGACAGATGGGGTTGACCGTGACATGCAGCCACTGCCGTTCACGGAGCACAACAGTGCAGCACGGGACACCCAGTCTTGACAGGACCAGGGACCGTGGAGGGCGCGGCCAGGACCTGAACTGTGTATGTGCCCAGTGTCTCTATCACTGTAAGACTGTGCCAAAATAAAGACTCTGAAGATTCTCAGATTCTTGGCTTTCCAATAACAACTTAAAATAAAGACTTGCAGATCTACGGGGCATCTTCTCCTGGACCAGAGGACAAACATACATAGCTCCTTCCTGACGCCAAGAAATGGCCTTCCTGTCTCACAGCAACTTTCTTTGAAGAGTTAACTGCATTCAGTCTCACTCGCTGCTTTCTGTCCTCTCTAGTCCACACCTTCTGTTCTCCAAAGAGTCCATCTGAACCAGGCGCACTGGCTCACGCGCCTCTAATCCCAGGTACCGTGGCCACTGAGGCGGGAGCATCAAAAGTTCAAGGCCAGGCTCAGAAAATTAGTGAGGCCCTGTCTCAAAATCAAAGTAAAAAGGGCTGGGGTGCCGCTCCTGGCAGAGCGCTTGCCCAGCGTGCGGGAGGTCGAGGTTCCACCCCGCACCACAGGAAATGGGCACTCCGTAGCCTCTGCAGGGCTTGCTTCTCAGAGCCAACCTTGTGTACAGTCCCGCAGCGTCGGGGCTCCCAGCGCTCTGAGAGAAGCTGAAATGGAGCGCCAGGCGGGCTGTGAGTGTGTTCCTGTCAGTAGCCTCTCAGGTCACATGTGGCTGTGGGACCACCCCTGTAGGACGGGAACACGGCCACCGCACCAGGCCTTTCCTCTGTCCTGCACTCAGACCCTGTCCTGGCTGCGCTCTGTCTGTCCCAGAACCTGGTGTCCCCGGAGCCACACAGCTGTGCTCTCCCGCACCACCCTCTGCCCCTCAGCCCACGGGCTCGAGCTCCTCTCCTCTGTGGGGGACGGGCGTGGACAGAACTGCATGTGGGAGCAGTTCCGAGAACTTTCTTCTCAGCATCCCTGCCCGCAGAGGTCCTCTACCCACGGCACGAGGCCATGAGGCACACAGCACAGCAGGCTGGCGGGGCCCCTGCACACTGTCCTGCGCCACACTGCCGCCGAGACCCCAAGGCACCCACTCGGGCTGTGTGGACTCTGGAGCCCCCTGGCTTGCTGGCCCTAGAGGACAGAGAGGAGCCTGGACTTCTCCGGCAGGACACTGCCTCCTTGTCTACAGACAGCTGCTCCAGACACACGCACTGCAGGGGAACTGAGCACCGAGCGGGAGAGCCCGGGTGGAGGCCCTGAGGGGAGCCCTAGGCCCTCACTGCTTCTGCTCTGTAAGGTCCCTGGTAAAGCCACCTGGGCCGGAGTCTCCGGGGTGCAGACGGTTGAATTGTAGATCTGATTTCATTGGCAGGTACAGAAGTTCTTCTTAGTGTCTACTTACTCTCGTCTTCTCCTGCCCCTCATTTCCGCCTCTCACCACCCTCCTCCCCACACTTCCGGATCCCATCTGCTCTTCTCATCTACTTTCTGCAGCGGAATCTCAGGGTTTTGATTAGAATATCCCTCTTCCTGACACTTGTGTTGAGGGTGAACACTGCTTCTCCTGAGGTCTGAGCTGCGCCCCACGACTTCGTGTCGTGTTCTCACACTCACATGTTCATGTATTTCACACTTACTCTCCTATTTTCCCTTATGACTCCTGTAGCTTATTTACTGCTTAATTTTCAAATATTTGGAGATTCGCCAGTTACCATTCAGAATTTAATTTCTACTTCAATTCCATTTAAGTCAGAGAATGTGCTCTGCATGATTTCAGTCCTTCGAGATGTTTAGCAACTTGACTCGCGGCCCAGTTCATGGCCTAGTTTGGTGAGTAGTTTAAGTGCTTGGAAAAATAGTGCACTCTGTAATTGCTGAGCTTGGTGCTCTATAAATGCCAATGAGATGAGGCTGGTAAAGAATATCATTCAAGTCCATCCTCTGCCCACTGATAGCTTCATCTGCTTCATTTACAAATTTCAGGAGAGGAGTTCAAATCTCCAGCTGTGATTATGCTTCAGTCTTCTCCCTTTTTCTTCTGTTGGATTTTGTGTTAAGTATTTTGAACCTGTTATTAGAAGAATTTGCATTTGGAGTGATTATGTTTTGTGATGGATTGACTCTGGTTGTTATTAAATGTTTTCTCTATTCTTGGTAATTCTTAGTGACTGGAAGGTCTTGCTCTGATGCCAATATAGCTACATTGGTTTTCTTGGTTTTCTAATCCTTTTATTTCCAAACTTTTCCCATCTTTGGGCTTAGATTGTCAACAAGATAGATTATAAAACAAGACCTTGTTTTATAAGTGCCTGTTCTGTGGGACCCATGTTTAAACACAGCCTGACACACCTGCACTTCAGCTGGTGCTACGTCACATCGCGTGTCACGTGGTTCCTGGAAGGGTGGACCTACGCCTCCCGCCTGGCTGTTTGCTTCTGTCCCACATTTCGTGGCTTCTGTATCATTTTTAGTCTCCCTGTTTATCCGTCCCTTGGCCTTCCCCCTGTGGTTACTGCCTGGTGACGGCTGAGTGCCCTCAGCAGCCCTCACTCCCTCCTGTCACACCCCTTGGTCTCTGTGCCTGCACTCTGCATTCGATGCGTTGCTCTGTGTTTGCTTTCAACAGCGGCATCTTCTAGAGAAAAGGGTTGGAGCTGGACGTGCTCGTCCACGGCTCACTGCCGCGCTCCTGCCCTCCACGCGGCTCTCGTCTTCCGTGAAGGACAGTCACCCTGCGTTCACAGGACGGGCTCGCGCCTCGCCTCCTCTGGTGGCCGCTTTCCTAGGTGACACACTCGCCTCCTCTGGGCTCCTGGCGGGCTGCCCAGGCCTCCCATGACCTCCCATGACCTCCCTGGTGGCCCACGGGTCCCCAGCACCTGCTGTCCCCCTCTGAGGCTGCTCTTAGGTCCCTGGGTCTTCGGAGGTCTGACCACGATGTGCTGTCTGCTGCTCACCGAGTTTCTTACTTTTTGGTTTGAAATCTTGGCCGGCTGGGAAGACGTCGTGGCTGTGGTTATGTGTCTGTTTCCCACTTATGGGGTGCTGTCACGAGCATCCTGGGCCACTTGTCTTCTCACCGGGATGTCTGCTCTGTGTTGGGTTCTGCTAAAAGGACAGCGTCCTGCGCCCTGAGGTGTGGTCCAGTTCTGAAGATCCCACGGCCCCTTGCTGCTGCCCTTCTGTCTCGTCCCCAGCTGTTAGTGCCGCCACCGGGTCTGCGTGGGAGGCCTGGGGGTGAGAGCACTTTTGTGTCCACAGAAAATCTGAGCTTGTATCAAAGTTCCCAAACAGGGTTGGTGGGACGGCAGGGAGGCTGCTTGGGTCCTCCGGTGTCAGCGCCCCCTCCGCTGTTTTCCTTTGCCAGTGACAGACTTGCCACAGGGTCGGCCCCTGATCCTCCGGCTACCCCCAGAGACACAGGGATCCTGACCTGTGGTAACAGGGGAGACCTGCGTTGGGCAGTGCCTTCAGACACACCTTCTACGACTCGTGGATGGCTCCAGTGCAGATACGATTTGTGGTGCATCTGCTGATTCCTCACACTACAGGGCACAGCTGCCTTTCCCCTTCGACAACCCAACCAGAAGGGTGCCGGCCACTCGGCCACTCCGCCCTCCCTGGGCATCCTGGTCAGCCGTGCTTCCTCTCAGGTCAGCCCCTTCTCCCTGCTGTGGACTCCGCCCCTGTCTCCAGGGCCAGCGCCTGGCCTCTGCTCTCTGCCCCCGGCTCCCTGGCCGCACTTGCTCCCCAGCATGGCTTGGCTCACTCTCCTCCATCTGTCAGTGATCCCAAACCTATTTCTTGCCTAAGCTCCAGGGACCACATAATAGCTTTAAGCCTTTTTGAAATGTGGGATAGCTTTTGGGATTAGGGTCTTTAAAGAGCAAAGAACAAATGACTTCAGGTTCTCAGAATGGAAAACGGTGAAATTTCAGGGCAGAAATGTTTACTTTAAAAGAAAAAGGGGGCTAGGGCTGGAGCTCGAGGCAGTGCACTGGCCAAGCACGGGTGAGGCCCCGGGTTCCATCCTCAGCACCACATAAAAAAGTGAATAAATAAATAGAGTTATTTAAAAAAGAAAAAGAACACATACTAGTTGGTGACCACGTTCAACATGTCACTACAATCTGCAGCCCAAGGAAGGACTTAAAGCCTCATACAGATTCTTCCATCATCACGATTTACAAATGTAATTTTCATTCAAGGACAAAAATCATAGTTTCATAGATGAAAAAGTGAATCTTAAAGTGGTTAAGATATCTTCACAAATGACATTAAAAAAATCCTTGTTGAGAATCAGAGTTGGCCTGTGGAATGACATATGCCATGGCAGTTCTTTGACCATGGTGATACCCTTTGGTTTACTCACCGCTTAGGAAAAATCATTGTGAGCACAAAGCTGCATTTTTATTAGGCCAGAGACTCATTTCCTGCTGTGCTGTTCTGTGTGCAGCCTGCACCTACACCTGATGTCTGATGTCTCCGCAAAGGAACTGTCGCGGTCCTGTTGTCTTCCGTGGAGCTCCAAACAGGTTCCCATTCTATCCACAAAGTGTTCCTGGCCCTCTTGCCGATTAGAATCGCCAAACATTCGGCATTTCATCACATCGGTGTGGATCATAGATGTTTATTAAAATGAAATGCACGCCCACCCCAACTTTCTAAAGGGTCACAGTCTACGTATTTTCCCAGTAGAAATCCCAAGGCAGGTCTTGCCCGTCTCACACTTGCAGCCATCTAGGTGAGCAGAATGCCCTGGTTAAGGGCAGTGCCTGTCAGGCAAGGGAGCCTCAGTCCCTGGACCTGGCGAGCACAGCCAGAGCTTCTGCAGCCACCACTCCACAGTGACACAAAACACTTAACACCTAACAAATACTGGCCTGGAGCGCTCAGACCACGGCGTTCACGATGCCTGGGAGTCTCAGAAGAGCCAGCCACATCTGAAGCTCACCTTGAAATACCTGGGCCTAGCTAGCCTGGCAGTCTGCACGCGTCGCTCAGCCTGAGGTGCGCCCAGACCAGACCGTTGCCTTGGTAACCCCCACTCCAGGGATGGTCCCCGGCATTCTGTCAGGAGGGCTGTCCTCCAGAGACTGCCAGCTGGGACCCTCACCAGAGCCCTTGTGGTTAAAGTGCTGAGCGTGAGCAGTGGGCTCCACGGCAAGGTCAGGCTTGCTGCCTGATGGGTGCTGAACAAGGGTCACCCTGAGGGTACACGAGGTGCCTAAGTCTCAGTGACCTCTCCCACCCTTTCTTGGAAGCTTGTAACCCAGAAGCCCTGTCTCCTGCTTCCTCCAGAGCCAGGCTTGAGGTGTGGGTCTTTCTTGCTGTGGGGGGCAGACGCCATGGCAGAGCAGCGGGTCTCCCGACGACAGGGGTAAGACCAGCAAGCCCTGACCCCAGCATGCTGCAGAGTAGGTCTGAGTGAACCTGCGCCCAGGGTGCTCTTCAGCACCTGCAGCCGACAGGGCTGCAGTGTGACTGAGCTCTCAGAGGAACTCACACTCACGGTTTTCTGCATGCGCCGTCCCTGAGTTTATTCAGCCATCTGACTTGAGATTTGCATGCGTTATAATCCAGCAACTCCAGCAGCTGCCAGTGTTTCTGGAAGGACCCCAAAGGCTGCACCATCTCGAGTCTGTTGCATGGGCATCTCGGGAGCCGGGGCCCATCCAGAATTCCTGCAGTGGGAGCTCCTCTGGCACGCCTGCAGCTTCGCTGATCCCCCCGGGGCCCTGGGGGATAGGCTGTGGCCCGAGTGTGTTTTATGAACTGAAAAAGCTTCTAGCAGTCAGCACAGTGCAGGGCCCTGACTAGGGACTCCAGGGGACGCTGCAGCCTTGGTCTCCCACATAAACCATGGCTGGAAACATCACAAAGGAAAGACCAGCAGAAGGAGCTCAGACAGCCCCCATCTTACACCTGGGAATTCACGGATGTTCTGAACTAAGGGCAGTGTGCAGAGAAACACTGGCTTCAAAACAGCCCCTTAATAAGGATGCATTAAAGAAACCGGCGACCCCCAAGTCATTCAGATGCACAAGCGACTCTGGATTCCCTGCAGGGCGCTCCTGTGAGTTCCGCGGCCCACGCCACCCGCCCACGCCTGCTGTTTCCTCCCCGGCTGCCTCCTGGTCCAGGTCATGACTGCCCTGGTCCCCTCCTGCTCAGGCCCTTGCTTCACAGCACTGAGAGTAAAACTCTGCGGCTGAAGGCCCCTGAGCAGTCGGCCTAAGTTCACTGGTGGAAGCCAGAGGTGGGGCCGGGCAGAGGATCAATACTCACCTCCAGAACCAGATCCAGGGAAACCCAGTCAGGACACAGGGCTGTGGGCAGGAGCAGTTTAACAGGGAAAACTTCTGCATCTGTTTGTGGTTAAAAGCAAGAGAAAGGAATTCCGATTCACTTGGGCTCCATAAAGAGGAGATACTGGGAGGCCCCTTCTCCCCACTGCACCCAGGTCGAGCCCAACAGGTAGGTGAGCCCCAGGAGGAGAAGAGCCCACTGGAGGTTCTCCAGGGCCCCAGAGCAGCGCTGTCTTCTTCCTCTGGACCCACTCGAGCCTCAGCCCTGATGTGACCAGCGTGGCCCTGCCGAGGTCACCTGCCTGCCCCTGTACCTGAGACTGGCCGTGTCCTGCGCCAGCAGTCAGTGCCATGGCTGCAGCACTGGGAGGGGAGGTGGGCACCCCTGCAGACCAGCAGGTAGAATCGTTCCTGGAGCAGAACCAGCACCGATTCACTACCAAACCACCCGCCCATCCTCAGACAGATCTGATTAAGAAAGATAGTGGGCTGGGCTGGGCTCAGCGCATGTGTGAGGCGCTGGGCTCGATCCTCGGCACCACATAAAAATAAATAAAAAAAATAAAGATATCATGTCCATCTACAGCTAAAAAATACTTTAAAAAGAAAGAAAAATAATAGAAATAAAAAATTTTTAAAAAAAGAAAAATGTCCATCTACAACTAAAAAATATTTTAAAAAGAAAGAAAAATTGGCTATAAACCTCCTATTGAAATGAGTGAGGAGAGGCATTACCATTATGAATTCTAGACAGAAACGAGTGGTGCGTGCTCTTGAATCTCAGCAGTCCAAGTCAAGTCCTTTAGTTCATTTTTAAACACTGAAGGAGGATCAAAAGGAAGGAGAAATGTTACTAAGAGCTCTTCATGAATTTTAAGAACAGATATTGGGTTTTATAATGTCCCAGTAGGAAACTGCTATAAAGTCGCTGAAATGGTGACTTAAAGCAAATTCAGTTCTGCAAGTCCTTGTAACGTCCTTCTAGTCTCTGCAAACACGTAGAGATCACAGGTCGGTGACTCTGTCCCCATCCGAGGAGCTCAGGGCAGCACAGTAAGGAGAACACTACAAGATCCAAGGGCCACAGAGACCTAGATGAATGTCCTGGGTCACAGAAAGGGGACAGGCTGCCAGTGACTGGCAGACCCAGAGGGTTCAACCCTGAGCAGAGCCTGAAACACTGGTCCACAGGGAGCACGGCGGCTTTCCTGACCCTGTCTCCTCCTCAGCTCCATCCAGACCCCCGCGGGAGCTCCAGGGCGTAAGGCCGCAAGGCAAGAGCTTGAACGCCACATTGCGTCCCTCCCTCCCTCTGGAGGCGAAGAGTACTCCCCAGCCCAGTGGACACTCGGCCGTGACAAGGCCCGGCACCACACACGGCATCTAAAGTGGCACCACGGGACTTCGTATGCAGACGTCGGGAACTGAACACGGGCCCGAAGGCTGTTGGAAGTGCTCTCGCCTGAGGAAGGTAAAAGTTAGAGCCTCTGAGCCGTAGAGAAATCACGTCAATCCCCAACGAGTACAGGCATCCTGGAAGTCCAGGGACCCCCGCAGGGTGGGTGCTGTCAGTACAGTGGACGTCACCCTCGATACTTCATGCTTGTCACTGCTAGCAGGAGTCTGCCAAAGAGCCGGTCAGAGCGACTTGAGCACCACGCCCCTATTTCCACCCCGACCTTCCTCCCGTGGTGCTGTCTCGGGCCTGGGAACTGCCGCTGATCCTGTGAGTCATGGACTCTGACGACTCAGTGCTCAGGAGATGGCAGAGGACTCTGTACTCCCGACTTGGCAGCTTCACGTTCTCACTCACTGTGATTCGTACATTCCACATTTACAGCTTGGTTCTGTGAGGAGTGTTAAGAAACTTGACTTATTTATACCTTTTAAATCTTCAATGTTCCGTCAAGGTTAAGATAAAGACTAGGAGGGGGAGGTCGGAAACAGAATGCAGGTTCTCTCCCACGCTCTCTCCTCCCGCCCCCCTCCCCTTCATTCAGGGCCCACTGGGCATCAGCCATGACAACGTGAAGATGCAGGTGCCAGAGGAAAGCCTCGCCAGGCTCGGCCGTCTTGGAGGGTGTGTGGCACGTGTTTTGGAGTCCTGCGAGGCTGTCTGGGACTGGTGGTCAGGGGCACAGGTGGGGGAGGCCTGTGTCTGAGAGACCAGGACCACAGCCGTCTCTTCTCCTGGTTCTGAAGCTCCTTCTGGCGCCCTGACCACTCCACGGCACCCAAGCTCCTGAGGGCAGGAGGCCACTCAGGGTGCCCACAGCAGTGGACTTCTGCTATGTTCACCCTCAATGGAGGAGTCCTGGCCTGATTCCCCAGAGGACTTGCACCTGAAGAGCTGCCTCTGATTCAGGACAGGAGAAGCCCCTAATATTAGGAAGTCAAAGCTGACTGAGTGAGTGGGAGGAGGAGAGAGGAGCCTGCTAACTGAGGTTGGAACGTCGGCTGGGGCGGGAGAAAGCCAGAAGAGTAAAGCCACTGACGGCCGGACCCAAATCCCTTCAGGCCACTGTGCCTGACCTGGTGCCACCATGGTGACACGAGACAAGTGATGTCCAGACCTTGGTGACACGCAGGGGTGCTTGCTGCTCCAGCTCTGGAGCATCAGGCAGGGCTGGTCCTGGCTAGGCCCGCTGGGCAGGGGCAGGCTGCCCACTGGTCTACAGAGAGGTGACATGGGCCCACCACAGGTGGCTTGTCCTGTGGCAGGCCTTCCTAGCATGTTCCTTGCTGGGCAAAAGCAGAGGGCCAGTGCCACCAGTCCAATAGCCAGCACTCCACAAGACACCAAGTAGAAACAGGAGCTCAGTCCTGGAGCAGACCACGAGGCACGTGCTGCCCGCCTGACCCCAGGCCCTGCAGAAGTGTCAGTGAGGGTGCCGGGAGGGACGTTAAAGCCGACCTCACCTCTGGTACTAAAGGCAGTGGACACCTAGTGCTCACTGTTGCTGCTGTAGCAAGTTAGCATCCGTCTAGCAACAGAGACAGCACAAATGTACTGTCCCCGTCTGCAGTCAGCTCTTGGACTGGCCTCATGGGTTTCCTGCTCTGGTTTGAAATACGGAGCCAGTTGGCTGGTTCTCGGCAGGATGCTCACTCAGGCTGTGGTGGTGGGAGAGGCTCTGTGTGCTCCCTGTCCATCAGCTGGGGCTCCTTCTCAGCATGAGGGACACCACGTGTTCTGGCCCCTCCACCTTTAAAGCCAGCAGAGTGGGCTGGGCTCTTGGCCTCAGCTCTTGCTGACCCCCTGCCTCACTTCTGTCGCTTCCAGCCAGGAAACTTCTCTGCCCTCAAAGGCTCATGTGGTCGGACGGGGCCCTCTAGGTAGTCCAGGATAACTGCCTATTTTAAGGTGCCCCATCTTGATTATACCAAGGTCATCCCTCACACAACACAACACTCGTGAAATCCAGGAATTTGGGTATGGACATTGGGGGCCATTTGTTCACCACGCCTGGATCCCAAGGACCACCATCAGCCCTTCCTGCCAGCAGCCTGTGACCCTGTGATACTGGTGACCCCACTGTCCAGCCCCATGTGGAACTTCTCAGCTGCCAGCAGCTTGTCAGCCACGTGTGCTGCTGGGCTTGGGCACACACAATGATGTCCCTTAGGGAGCGTCTGCTGACTACTCTTGGCCACAGGATGGGAGGTTACCCTTGAGCCTCCTGCCCCCAGAGCTGGACACGGCTCAGTTCTGTTGCTGGGGCCACCTCGCTCACGGCAGCCAAGAGTCGCTGATGTGACACACCTGTGGCAAAGACCTGGGCAGAGCTCAGTGCCAGTGAAGACACGGCACCCAGCTTCTGACGACCGTGGGCTTGGGGAACGGGAGGTGACGACGGCAGCAACGGAGCGGGTGGAAGTTCATGCCGTCACAGGCTCTTGGCCCACACTGTGCAGGCAGAGCTGGGGAGCTGTGCTTCACATCCGGCCTTTTCCTGTGGTCAGTCAGTCTGCGTGCTGCTGCTCTGCTGGCTTGTCAGCCCCTGCTCCATTCTTGGTGCCACCGTGGGAGCAGCCTGTGCCATGTCGCCAGCCCACCAGGGGCCGGTGCGGCTCAGCTGGTGGTGGGCACTGGAGCCTGGGGGGCACGGGACGATCCTCGCACTGAATGTCCACCGTCAGCCATCAGGTGGCCCAAGCCACACCTCTCCCACCCAGAGCCCTGCCAAGTGCCCCATGTCCACAATTCTTCACCTCTGTCCAGCGGGGCTTGAGTCTACCCTGCAAGCTAGAGGGGGAACGTCAGCACCTACATCCGGCAGGTCTCCACCAACCGCTTCCACGACGTCTTCCTCCTGTTCCCAGGAGAGACGCGCCCGGTCCCACGTAGCACCAGAGCACGAGCCTGCACCAGCAGCCGACCCCACGCCCTCTGCAGGTAGGATGCGGATGGAAGCCTGCGTTAGTTAGTGGAGAGATGGGGGCGCTCTAGGTGAGGAGCCGCAGGAGTGGCCAGCCCCAGAGAAGGGGTGCAGCCGGTCTCTGCAGCCACACAGGCTCCAAGGAAGGAGACCACCTCTATCGGGACCATGGCACTGCCTTGGGTCTTCTCTGTTCCCAGGAAAGACTGAGCCCTTCCTCCTCCTCTTCAGTGGGCCTTGGGACCCCAGGACTCTGCACCAGTCCCCTCCCCGGGCCCCCTCCCCGTGCTGGTCCTTTCCTGTGGCTCCGTGACCTGTGGCAGGAGCTCCTCGTCTCTGTCTTTGCTCCCCGTGAGCAGCACCACACTCCTCCACCTCCATGGAGGAGAACACCCTCTGCCCCTGGCACCTGCCGGTCACTTCTGCTTCGATACTGAGCGCTTTCCGCCAAAGCCGGCACCTGCTGCGCACACTCAAGGCTGGGAGGCCACTCCCGTGAGAGCGTGCTGTTCCGTGCCTCGGACAGCACGTGAGGCCTCAGGAGCCCAGGAGGAGCTAGGTGCCCAGGTCTGGACCGGCTCCCCTCCGTCAGGCTGTCCCGCCGTCCTGATGGCCACCATGCAGGGCCTGGCTCAGGCCACCTGGAGGTGTGGTGTGCTGGAGAGTGCCAGTCCTGATGCCCACACTTCCTTTCTGCAGAGACGGAGGCTGTGCAGACACTCATCCCAGGAGCACTGCCATGGCTCATTCTATGGCCGTGCTGGGTCTCAGAGGAGCAGGCTTGGTGAGTTTGCTCAGGACTTAATCGCTCTAATCACTTAATGCACCAAGCATTCTTGCTCCAAGAAAGGGAAGTTTCTTGTTAAGAAAACAAGCATTACAATTGGTTGGCAGGCCGCAGCTGGAATCAGTTATGAAAGGTCGTGTAAAGAGGCACATGTTTTCATAAGGCCTTTTAAAATGCAAAATGCCTATACATAGTAAAGTAATCCTGTGGTGATACCGCTGCATGCGGGTCTTGTGCACGTCCGTTTAATGTAGAAGAGATCACACTAATTCAGGCTGAAAGTCAATTAACTGCACACTAATCTCCTGCTGAAAGCTCCCAAGTAGGATTCAATCTGTTACATGTCAACCTAGATTTTTTGCAGTCACTGAAATACACTTGGATTAAAAAAATAGGCATGGTGATCTGTGACCTTCACAGTTGCTAGGATTCAGCTGAGTCTGCTGGAAACTTCCAAGAGAATTCTTTTATTTTTAATGGTAAGAGCTACGTGGGACTCAAGGACTCTCACCCTTGGCCAGTGTCCACCTCTTGTCCTTGCTGTCACTGCTGTGACTCTCGTAAGGAACTCGTCTAAAGCTCTGAAACGTCAGCAGAAAAGGGAAACAGTCTCCTGCAGCTCGGCCGCGTCTGGGCACGTTCCACAGAGAGCTTTCCCTCCATAGTCAGTTTCCATGAACGTCAACCAGGGTCCAGGACAAACCTGGCCGCGGCCGCTCTTCGCGGACCGTGTCCACACCTGGGCCTGATTTAACGCACAGCCCCTTTCCTGCAGAGGCGAGGGCTTCTGCTCGGAGCCACTGGTCTGCAGCGCCCTCTCCGGGCTCTGCCGGCTCCGGGTGCCCTCAGGGCCAGCGCCCTCCACAGCCAGGGCCCTCCACGCCTGCCCTGCCGCAGCCCTTCTCCTTGTTTCAAGCACTTCGCGTGCCCTGCTGGGTCACTGTTGAGGGGACTGTTCGGACTGACTTCTCCGGGTCGGCTCTGTGAGGCCGGCACCTGTCCATCTTCCTGGCTCTGGCCTGGCAGAGGCCTGGCGGCCCGACACAGCGCCCAGTGAACACCTGTGGGCTGAGTGGACCAACTTTCTCTACTACGTCACCTCCCATCAACTCTGCTAGAAATACTTTTGTTCATGAATTCCCCAAATAAAAATACTGAAGACAAATTAATAAAAATAAAATATTGCCATAGATGTTCACAGTCCCAGGAATGTTTCCTACGTGAGTATCTCTGCCTTCCGTACTACCTGGAAAGAAGACATCTCAGGGTCCCCCAGATCCAACCTGAACGACTGGGGATAGTCCTGACCCTGACCCGCCCTGTGCATGGCCCTGGTTCTGCGTCCCGGCACTGTCCTGTCTTCTCCGTGTGGGGCTGGGAGAGCGGGCGCAGGGAGCTCTGTGGGGCTCTCGGGCAGCTCCTCGGTGAGGCCCCACATCCAGGGCACGGATGGGATGCCACCTGCCTGAGGGAGCACAGGCCACGTAAGTCAGCAGGTGCCAATGCCTCGGAGCCTGCCGTAGTGATAGCTCGGTGACAGCTCCTCACATGTGACTCGGCTCTGCAGTGACGTTCCTCAGCCTGGCACAGCCTCCACATCTAGGGGCACCTTGACTCCTTGCGCTCGGCACAATGCCGCCGTTCCAGGACGCGGGTGTTTGGAGGCGAGTCAATGGCCGCAGGGACCACCCGGGACCACCACTCTCCACTGCCCCCTGCTTGAAATAGAAAACCAGAGTCCCCACGAGTCTTGGCATGGGTGCAACTGCCCACGGGGTGGCACCTGCCGGCGTGCCAGCAGATGACTGGGGGCAAGAGGGCCCTCAGATGCAACGCTCAGGTCTCCCCCTGAGCCGACTGTGTCCATCCGCCTGTCCATCTGCCCTTCGGTTTCTTTTGTCCCCTTTTCCTTTTGAATATATTTTTTATCCAGAAAACAAGTTGGGTTCTGTTTCCTCTTAGTTTCCACAACTGAACTTGGTGTCACTTGGCATGAAGTCTCCTCGACTGCTTCATGATATCAGTTCTCTTCCTCTCCGGACTTCAGGGAGCCTCCACCTGCCCTTGATTCTTTTAGAATCTCTCTACCCTGGGATCTGACAGGCCTGGCACTCCCCCTCCCTTCTGTTGTCTAACCACTGTGCTTCGCCTCTGCCTGGGCCCATCTCTATGACCGCATCCCCTTTCCTCAGTCCTAACAGCTGTGCCCACTGCCCCAGGAGGCAGGCATCAGATGCAGCCCACAAGCCAAGAGATGTGTAAAAAATTTAAAGCCAGAACGGGGCTGTGAGTAGACCCTGCTGGGATCGACTGGCCCGTGTCCTGTGAGCAGAGCCATTCTTATCTTGTTTCTTGGACGCTCTGGCTGGTTTAAAGGTCCTGATGTAAGGAAAGCAGTGTCCTTTCCCTTCGGCCTGGAGCGGGCTGCCCCGGCCGTTCTCCCCGGGCATTGCTGCCAGGAAGGCTCCTGCCACCAGGCTCTGCGCAGCCGTGGCCTCTCCTCAAGCCCCAGTGCCCCCCATGGGCAGGGAGGGGCTGTGGGTGCTGGGCCAGGTCCGGTGCAGGCCTGGGGGCTCTTCACCCTGGGCATTCTCCCGACCTCCACCCCTTCTCCCTTGGGGCTCATCTGGAGGTTGCCGGGATTTTAATGGTGTCACTCACGTCTCTGGGTCTGCGTTCCCTTCTGGATGCCTTTTTGCTGTGTATTGTGTCACTTCTCACACCTCCAGCTCATCGATTGCTTCAAGTCACCTTGTACGGTTTACTCAAAATGGAATGAAATTTTAATAGTGATGATTAGGCCATATTTTCATATTCAAATACTCAGATTTCCCCATTGCTATGGGTCAGGATCGGGATATACACCTCCCGGAACTCCTGCTAGTGCAGGGTGTGCAGAGGCAACACAAATGGTCAGACCTGTCCCCTGAGTAGTAGACTGATCCACTTGAAGGACTGATCATCGAATGGGCTGACTCGGTGGTGACAGCAGGCAGGTGGGTGACGGGAGGTGGTGGGTCCTGGAGCCGTGCCCTGGAAGGGGGCATCTTCACTGTGGCTCCCCCCCTCCCCGCTCTGCTTCCTGGCCCCTGTTCTTATTTCATAAATCTAACCCTTTTTCACGGTTGAGAGAGCTTTGCCTATGACCCTTAGGATGCAGGGGTGCCTCACGCTGTACTGGATTTCTCTTGGTCAGTTTCCTTTCTGAGCTTCTCGCATCTCCTTCAGCGACCTGCAGGTGGTCTTTCAGGTCTGGCTGTCTCGGTGCCTGCATAACTTTTCTAGAAGAGTAAGATCTTCTCGTCTTTACTGAGTTTTCCCTCACACTCCTATGGCCTAGAACCTATGTGTGAGGGGAGTGAGCGCGGGAAAGGCCCTGGCTCCCTCCACTCAGCTGCTATAGCCACGCACCTTCCACTGTGTAGCTCAGAAGCAGACGCTTCTCACAGTGTGGGGGCCTGAAGTCCATGAGCAGTGCCCGTGACTCCGGTCTGGTGAGGGCGTTTCCTGGCCCACAGGTGGCGCTGTGTGCTATGTCCTCCCACGGTAAGGAATACCTGGTTCCTGGGCCTCTTTTGCAAGGACACCAACCTCATTCATGAGAAGCCCCCTGTGACCCCAGAACCTCCTGAGCTCTGGGAGTCAGGATTTCAGCCTATGTGTTTTAGGGTGACTCAGAACTCCCTCTCCGGGCGCCCGGTGGGAGCCCCCGAGGCATTTCTGCATGCCGAGCACTTTCCATGGCACAAGTATTCCGCTGGTCTATGGGGACTCAAAATGACAACTCTGGATCTGTAGTGGCACCAGATCAGAGTCCTTGTGCACACACAGGAGGTGTACGTGTATACACACACACACATACATGCTGATGTGTTTTAGAAAAAAATCCAAGTTTTTAATGATGAGTGCTCCTGGAGAGGAAAAGTAGTGGATCTCTTACATCATGCATCTATGCTACTTGGGTTTTTGCATGCGGCTGTGTTGGAGCTTAAAGCCATGACTCACACTGAAGCAAGTGCTCTTTTTGCTGTGAGGGCCAGTTCATCACTGCCGGCCAGGAGGAGGCAGGCCTGGGCCCCCCTCCAGCTCCTGCTGCAGCCGGCCAGACGCATGGTTCTTGGGCAGGCACTGACCTCTCTCAAGGGAAGGTCCAGGACTCTCTGGAGCTCACTGTGTGTAGCCCCGGCTGCTGTGGAGGGGGCACGGCTGCAGTGAGCCTGGCACTGGAGAGCCGCGTCGTGGGCCGGGCTCCCAGGCAGAGGCCTCGTTTTCCCTCACAGAGCTTGGCAGTCCTGTAACTGACCACCAGAGCGCTCGGAGCCAAGAGCAGCCCACTTTTAGCAAGCACACACCAACCTGCTGCAAATATCTGTTCTATTCTCCTGTTCCCACTTCCCAGGTTCTTCCACAGTCTCCTCTCTTTCCTTAATTACCTCATTTATTGGCTTTTATCTTCTGTATTTTTGTAAGTTTCCTAAAATCTTATTTAAAACAAAACAGGGTATAAATAACTGAAATCAGAAGTATGCAAAGCACACAGTTCCAGGGCACAGTGACATTTCCATTTATGACCTAAACTGAGCGGTTTGACTGTGCTCCTAAGACCACCCTGCTTTGATTTCCCTCCAGAGCCCTGGGGGAGCCATCTACTCTACATGCTGCAGAGTCTATTAAGCATCAAGGGATCCTGTCGAGGGGCAAGGAGAAAGCACCAGACTTTCCCATGGGTCTGCAGGTGGGAGGTTTTGCAGGATGGCTGTGCAGGATGAAGGAGCGGGTATCAGTGTCAGCAGACAGCGGAGGCCTGAGCCCTGGTTTGTGTCTCCCGTTAGCTAAGCCCAACTAGACGCCTTCATTCACACTCAAAAGCCGTTCTCTACGCCGCTGCTTCTGAGCCCCAGGGACACACAGAGGAGTCTTCTACTTCCACAAGCAGCACGTCGCCTCCTGTTGTATTACCGTTCTCGGAGGAGGGAGACCCGAAGATCTCCAGCCCGTGCCCGGTGAAGAGGGCGTGCTGGCCAGGCGGGCACCACACGCCATGCCCCCGCCGAGCCACAGAGTAACAGGAAGGTGGAAAAGACAACCCCAGTCAAACCAGAAGTAGTTAGGACCCAGCCCCAGAGCAGTGGCTCAGTGCCAGGCCCAGGGAGGACACACAGGCTGGCACACAGCTGCTCCTCAGTGCGGGCACTTCACGGGCACCCTGGGCCGGTGGGTGGCTGTAGCCCCTGCAGGGGAGGGAAGAACTGTCCACGCTCCCCTAACTGTCCCTTGCTCCAGGTGCCCCTGGAGGCAGCAGGCGGGCAGGCTCCCGGCAGTCCAGGAGACCCCTGCTCTGGCAGCCTGAGCAAGCAGCAGCCCTGCGAGAGCCAGGGGAGGGGCTGGCCGAGGAGGAGGCCACAGCGGTGCGGCCCCAGCAGCACAGCATCCAGCCGCAGCTCTGGGCCCCGCTCCCCACTCCCTGCACACTCTCCTTTTGTGACGTGGGGTCTGGCCATGCTGCCCAGGGGGCCTCTCACCCTGGGCTCGAGCCACCACAGGTGCCCCTCACAACCAGCCTCCCCCACAGGGTGGGGAAAGTGTCCCTGGAGAACGCCCTGGACGGGCGGGCCTTCCCAGCTGTGGAAACCACGTCACGGAGACAGGGTCGGCAGGTGGGAAGCCGCACACCTCCACCTGCCGACTCCACAGGCCTGGGGAGAGGAGAGGAGAGGAGAGCACCCGGGAAAGCCACATCAGGACCCCAGCACCCATCGCACCGAGCACACCCTGCACCCTCTATTCCCCCCGCCAGTCCCCCTTGGTGGTAAGAACACTCGATATGAGACCACCAGGTGGCAGTTCCAAGTACTCAGCGTGGCCGGCCTCGGGCTCTGGCCGTGTGACAGGCTCCAGGACTTTTGGCTTTGCTTTCTGCATGACTGAAACTCAGTGCCCTGTCATCACTCCCTCCCCGTGACCCCCCAACCACCCCTGGCCCCTGCTGGGCAGCGTCTCCTGCGGGTGCAGGCACCACGTCCCATCACACGTGTGCCCGGCCCGGGCTCCACCTCATCTGCCTCGAAACCCCAGGCTGTGTCCAAGTCCCACCCACATACGTGACACTGCAGATCTGGACGCTGGGATTCTCTGGGTTTTCCTCTCGGGCCTCTGCCCGCGACCGGAAGCAGGACTGCGGGATCCCGGGAGGGCGCTACTGCCAGGCTTCCAGGCACCTCCCCGTGGTCTCCGGCCCCAGTGGCGCCACTTCAGTCCCCACCCAGTCTCTGCCCGACCTCACCCACCTCGAGATGGCTCTGGCACAGATGGGGCCCCCTCTCAGAGGTCCTGGCTGGTCCTCTGGGTCCTTGTGGGGAGCCGAGTGCCTCCCGTGTGGCTTCTTTGGAGAAGCATCTGATGTGCTTCAGCAGGCTCCACGTCGGTGCTGGGCCTTCCACGCAGCTCTAGGACTCCCTTACCCACGTGGGCTGTGCCCCTCCTGGACGCGTGGCCCTCCATTCCTACCAGGCTTCCGGCTGCCTTCTACCGCTGGGCTTCCCTGGCTGTGCGGACGCTCTCTGGTCTGAGGCCACCCTGAAGGACTCTCCCGGGTTGCCTTCATTCTCGGCACCACCTCCAAAGCTGCGGTGGGCATCTCCCCGGGCTGCTTCTGGTAGTTTGTGGCTTCGGGCCACTTTCTCCTTGTAATCGCCATCACGTCTGTCAACTGAACAGACGGCGAGTTTCACTGTGGCTCTGCCCACAGAAACGTCTCGTTGGTCATGTCCACCTCCCTCCCTCACCCTCTGCCTGCCCCACGCTCTGCCTCAGCCCAGGTTGGGTGGATCTGTGTGCAGGGTGCAGATGGGAGGCACCTCCTTCCTCCTGTGGTTCCCAGTTTCTCCTGCGATGACCGTGGTGTGTCCTCCGGGCTGCGGTTGAAGATCAGCAGAGTAGGCATGGGCTCACCCGGGTCTCTGTGCCTGTTGGTGCCAGGACCTCGCCGTTCTGTGTCCTGGACCTCACAAGGTAGCTGGCAGTCAGCAAGTACAATCCAACTTCTCCTTCGTGCCTAAAGGCTCAGACTTCGGAGCCCATGCTAAACTTTAGGGTAGTTTTTCTGTTTGGAGGGGATTGCGTTGAATCTGTAGATTGTTAGTGTGAGTATTTTAACAAAATTGCACCCTCCAGCGCGTGGATGTAAGAGTCTTGCACTTGCCAGTGTCTCTTTTGTCCCCATCACTGATGTTTTATGACTTCAGTGTTCAGGTCCTTCACCTCTTTGATCAACTTTGATCCTACTATGGGGTGTCCCCAAAGCTCTGGTGTGGGATGACGCAGGAGCGCGCGTTCAGAGGCGAGATGTTGACAGCTTCAGCCTAATCGGTGGACTGACGAGGTGGAAGGGCTCTGTGGTGCATGGTGACGGTGGACAGGTGGTGTGCTTGGAGAAGGTGGCCCCTGGGGTGTGTCCTGGGAGTCAGAGGTCCTCCCCAGGCTTCTCACCCTCTCTTCCTGGCTGTCACAGCTGAGCAGCGATGCTCCACCACGACCTTCACCCTGATGTCCTTTCACCTGGGCCCAGAGCAGTGGAGTTGGCTGACCACAGGTGGACCTCTGAAACCAGGAACCAAAATCGACCTTTCCTCATCTGGGCTACCCTTGGTCACGGGTAACTGCTGACCTACACAAACCCCACCTGTCTTCTTTCTTTTTTGCCTGACGAATGGGATGATCTTCCTCACTTCCCTGGGGTGGTGGTCATCAGTGTTTCGGAACATGATGGCACTGGTGCGGATCTTGTGCTCTGCGGCTTCACTGCCCTCGTAGTCTAGACGTTAGTGGGGGAACCAGGGGCAGCCACGTGTGGGCCTTGTCTTCAGCCCACAGCAGCGGCTTGACTTCCCCTCCAGTCTGGCGACTCTGTCGCCTCTTACCCAACCCGCGGGCGGGACTCGGGGACTGTGTGGAGGACAAGTGGTGTGCGTGGGCGTCCTGTGCTGCCCTGACCCATGGGGGAGCCTTCGGGGTCCCACCATTGAGCATGAGGTCCCAAGCGTGGGATCGGATGGGTGCATCCCTGAGGGGTCGGCGTGGGTATGTCACCGTGGGGTTGGCACAGGTATGTCCTCAAGTGTGGGGTCAGCATGGGTGTGTCCCCCTGGGGTCCGTGCGTGTGTCCCCAAGCGTTGGGTCATGCTACTTCGTGGCACAGTGGCTCCTGTCCCGGGGTGGGAGTCTTCCTGGGACAGCGTGCGCACGGTGTCCGGAGTCCGGCGTCCCGTGGCTCGCGGTGGCTGGTCGCCGTAGCACCCTGAGCCCTGGTCTGGGGTGAGCGCCTCCTGTCAGCGCCCCCGTGTCCTCAGGGCCGCCGCGTTCCCTTGCAGGGTTTCCTGTGGTGTCCTTGTGTGGCTTTGGTGCCCAGGTGACAAGAGCCTCCTGAAAGGGGTCAGCAGTGTCCCCCTTAGCATCTTGGTCCTCTCACCCACCCGCAGAACTCGGGGGAGTCTGCGGGGCCTGGGTGTCTCCCTCTGCAGTGCCTCCTGGTCGCACAGGGTCACCGGGACCTACCCCTGGCCCCCGGGCCCTGTCAGCCGCCTGGCCGCTGGTTCGCCCCTTTCCCTGTCAGTCCACCTGGATGTCTGACGATTTTGTTGATCTTAAATGTCTGCTGAGGTTTTTAAAATTAAATTTGCTTTTAAACTAGCACAAAAATACAAATATCCTATGTATTAAAGGATACCACGTGCCACTGGGACGGGGGCGGGGGCGTCTCCAGGACCCATCCTCGTGGCCTTCAGCTGCATGGGCCGCGGCAGCCCCTCCTGCCCCGGGAGCCTCACCCTCTGTCTGTGGTCTGTCCATGCCAACCTGGGGCTGAGTGGCGTCGGGCTGGGGTGGGTCTGCCCTGGCTCCGTGCAGGT